CAACTCACAACGACACCAAATACTTGAACGTACGCCTTGAAACGTTAGCCTATTGGAATATTTAGCAGTTTTTTTTCCTAATTGCTTACCAATATCAAACGGGAGCTTCTGGTTTGGATTCAGATCTTTATGAATCTAAACATACAGCAATATGTCATGTTTCGTTCTCCTGAACCATTTTTAACGAATATATGATATCGTGCGTATGTCCACAGAGTCCTCCTGTTTATCTTAATGAACACTGACTTGATACTGAGGTTGTAATTTTGAAAATATCTAAATTATTTCCGGAATACTCATCCTATTAAAGAAGTCTTGAATGAGAAACGCATCCCGAAAGTGAGGTTTATTGTGACGGACCCTGAACTATCGCCAATCACAATGAATGGATGTTCCCTCAGCCGGTCACCGTATCTCAATCGCCTATTGGGCCTTAACTTCAACCGAGACCTTGTGGACCTAACACATACGATCCATCGCTAAAAATGCTGGAACAATGGTTGGTTCTCTGTAGCGCTCCAGTACGGACCTGACTACTCATGCTATCCTGTACGGTCGGTCTAATCTGGCATGCTCGGTCTAATATGACTCTGCAAGGGCCAGATTAGACCGAACATGGAGTACACCTACAATATATAAAGAGAAGCTTACCAGTCTTCGTTTTCCATTCTCGATAGTGTCCAAAGACGTCTCCGAGTTCTTGTAGGTGAGAAAATATTTCCCACCCTACAATCTCTTTCTCAAAGACTAAACGCTGCAAGCTACTCACTGCTCTATAGTTATTTCAAAGGAAAGTGTTCAGAATAACTACATTCATAAGTTCGAGCAGTTCTACTATGCATATTTTAGCAAATCATCCTAATTGCATTCGTCTTCTATTGGTAAGATGCAAGGTTCCCTCAAGCAGATTCTTCCTGCGAACCACTGTTCTGGTTAAACGACTTCCAGCACTACTCAGTAAGAAACATTATGTAGGCCTCCATGTTGAGTCTGAGACCCTGACCAACAAATTCGGGAGTTCTTTTCTTCTTCGAACGATCAGAGTGAGTTTTCCGAGCTGTTGTACCTTCATAATCACCATTAGATTCTTCCAACTTTTTCCGAATCCTCTTCCTTTTCCTCAGATTGACACCCAAATTCTTTTAAATGTTCGTATTGAAGTATGCCATTTCGCAGATTCTGTATGAGGGAATTGCATCATGGGGCCGTTTCTTTCTCAAACAGGGCACAACTGACCCTACTATACAGTGCACTCGATCAAAAAGAAATAATGCGCATGCGCAGAATTGAAAATATAAAATGGCGACAATTTAGCCATCACAGGGATAGGTAAATGTGATAATAAGATATTAGCCAGCGATACGCGTGTGGTGACGTGCATAGGCTGGTAAGCAAATAAATAATTACCAAATTTAGCTACGAGGTTTAGACATTATAGTGCTCAATTGTATTAGACACACGTACGAAATATATATAAATAAATACATATATGCCTACGTTTGATGTGCGACTCTGATTAAACGAAATCTACTGCCGATGAATTGGGTAACCAACGAAATTCGAGTCGCACATCAAACGTAGGTATATGTGTATTTATTAACATATATATTATGTCTATTTATTTCACTTTGAATCCTTTTAAGTACACGAATTAACATCAAGTGAATATTGAAATAATAACTCAGAGCCTGGCTATGGCCTGACGATTGCCTCTAGCATGAAACAGTCTGTCGCTTATGAGTGCTGACTTCAATATATATATATATATATATATATATATATATATATATATATATATATATATATTACAGTTTACTTTTGATATTAATTTAAAATTATAAACAAAATAAAACGCGATAAAAAAAAAAATAATATATATATATATATATATATATATATATATATAAATATATATAACAAAAATATTAATATTATTGTTATTGATTGAAAAAAATGGAGCAAAAAAATAATAATTAAAATCTAAAATTTCAAATTTTAAATTGTAATTCTTAAATTCATAATCTAAAATTAAAAATTTAAATTTAAACAACCTAAAAAAAAATTAAATAGTATCGAAAAAATATAATGAAACATCGAAAAACATATTAAAAGGAAAACTAAATTTAAAAAAATATAAAAATAATATATAATATAATTTAAAAAGTATTAATAATATTATAATATTGTAATAATAATAATAATAATAATAATAATAATAATAATAAGAAGAAGAAGAAGAAGAAGAAGAAGCAGCAGCTATAGTTGTGCCTGATGAACTGGGTAACCAACGAAATTCGAGTCGCACATCAAACGTAGGTATATGTGTATTTATTAAACTATATATTATATCTATTTTAGTTTTAATCCTTTCAAGTCCTCGAATTAAGATCAAGCGAATATTGAAGTCAGCACTCAGAGGCGACTGACTGTTTCATGTTAGAGGCAATCGTCAGACCGCAAATCGGTCTCTGAGTGTTGACTTCAATGTTCACTTTTATATTTACATACGCTCTAACTCTGATATTTAACACGTTATCCCATAAATATAGCACAACTCAAAACGATATTTCTTTACATATATATATATATATATATATATATATATATATATATATATATATATATATTGAAGACATTTTTTACTTAAATACTTGTATCTATAAAACAATGTTAAACATAAAAATGTATTTAATAAATTGTCGGACTTTGTCCAATTCTTAATGTATATATATATATATATATATATATATATATATATATATTACAATAAACGTGCAATCAATTTACAAATACATGAATTATTCATACAAAACTAATGCAAAGGTTAATGATTTAAATGGCAAGACATCCATCTTGCAAACGATTCAAAAACCAAGAAAACCTCTAAATCCGTTATATACTTTGAGTTGATCCTTGTTTATATAAATTTCTGCCGTATTAGTTTTTATTTTTACGAAAAGCTTTCGTCTGTTCTACAGAAATCGTCAGAAATTTATATAAAGATGTTGTTCTTGGTTTTAAAAACATAACAACATTTAGAGGTTTTTTAAAACTATTTGAATCGTTTGCAAAGATGGATGTCTTGCCATTTAAATCATTAACCTTTGCATTAGTAAATATATATATATATATATATATATATATATATATATATATATATATATATATATATATATATATATATTTATAGATATATAGATATATATGTTTGTGTGTGTCTGTATTTGTGTGTATCTATGTGGGTTTATTTAAATTCTTGGCTATCTTATATCCATGTGCATTTTTAAAGTTACTGGCCGTTTTCGGGAGATTCTCATTTATCTGCATTAACATATTTATTTATAAGCTTTCTGGAGAAAGCCGAAATCTTCGGATGCATTATAAGCTGAGATTAGCGAAAGCTGCAGGAGAAAAATGAAGAAATCAATTGGAAATCTTTTTCTTCAACCAACCCCCCCTCCATTACAACCACTTCAGTTGAAATTCGTTTAGTTCTGTAGGCGCGCATTTCTTCCTTTCCAGTTATCTTTGGAAAAATATTCTATTCCTTTACGTTGCCTCTTTCGCACTTATTCCTGTCGCTCGCATCCTTACAGAACGGTGTAAAATAGCCTGTTTTCCTCGGCGAATTTTGTTCCACTAAACGGATTCCAGTCCGAGTTTGACATGTTTACAATTTCTGTCTCGTACAGAAAATACATAAATAAATCAATAAACGAACGAATGGCTTTTGTTCAGAGCTTTAGGGACGAATAGTAAGTCGCAAGAGGTTTTTATTATTATTATTATTATTATTATTAATATTATTATTATTATTACTACTACTACTACTATTATTACTACTACTACTACTATTACTATTATTATTACTATTACAACTACTATTATTATTACTACTACTACTATTACTAATACTACTATTATTATTACTACCATTACTACTACTACTATTATTATTAGTACTAATGTTATTATTACTACTACTACTATTATTATTACTACTACTACTATTATTATTAGTACTAATGTTATTACTACTACTACTACTATTATTACTACTACTAATATTACTACTACTACTATTATTAGTACTACTACTATTATTACTACTACTACTATTATTATTAATACTACTACTACTATTACTACTATTATTACTACTACTACCATTACTACTACTATTATTACTACTATTACCATTACTACTACTACTACCATTACTACTACTACTATTATTACTACTACTATTATTACTACTACTACTATCATTACTACTTCTACTCCTACTACTATTATTACTACTACTACCATTACTACTACTACTACTACTACTACTATTATTATTATTATCAATATTATTATTAAATTTTCACCCAACACAATTCACAAAGCTAACTCAAAGTAAAGTGTTACTGAATGCCATAAAAGAAGGTTGGTTGGTTGTCAATTTTTGTTTAGCGTCATATCATCCTCCATGCGTTGTTTAATGACAAATTGTAAATATTTTGTACATAATTTTTACTTATATTTTTGAAAATAGGAATGATTTTTGTGAAAAAAGATTCACTAATGAATAGGTATCAGGGAGATGCCTGCGTTTCCCAAGGTTATGTGCGCGTAAGTGAATATAACGAACCCATCTGGAATTGGAACACGGCTCTCTGATTAACAATTACGAGCCATTATCCATTACACCACCCGCATATCCATCTTAAAGCACTCAGTATTCATAAGAGGTTTCAAATCTAGCTACTGACCTGGATCGACGTTGCTTAACTTCGGTGATCGTACGGGAGCCGATCTTTCATCGTGATGTGGTCGTAAAACCATTAAACTTTCCGCATATCCAAGGTTACAGCATATGTTATTCCCAAGCGTTCATCCATCTAGCTACTGACCAGGATCGACGTTGCTTAACTTCAGTGATCGTACGGGAGCCGATATGTCAACGTAATGTGGTCGTAAAATCATTAAACTTTCCGCATAACCAAACTTATTGCATATGGTATTCCCAAGCGTTCACCCATCTAGCTACTGACCAGGATCGACGTTGCTTAATTTCGGTGATCGTACGGGAGGCGATATTTCAACGTGATGTGGTCGTAAAATCATTAAACCTTCCTCATATCCAAGCTTACAGCATATGTTATTCCCAAGCGTTCATCCATCTAGCTATTGACCAGGATCGACGTTGCTTAACTTCGGAGATCGTACGGGAGCCGATATATCAACGTAATGTGGTCGTAAAATCATTAAACTTTCCGCATAACCAAACTTATTGCATATGGTATTCCCAAGCGTTCACCCATCTAGCTACTGACCAGGATCGACGTTGCTTAATTTCGGTGATCGTACGGGAGGCGATATTTCAACGTGATGTGGTCGTAAAATCATTAAACCTTCCTCATATCCAAGATTACATCATATGGTATTCCCAAGCGTTCACCCATCTAGCTACTGACCAGGATCGACATAGCTTCGGTGAACACACGAAAACTGGTCTTTCGACGTAATCTAGCCGTAAGCCAATTACATCGCCCGCATATCCAAGCTTACAGCACCTGGTGTTCCGAAACGATCACTCATCTAGATACTGACCATGATTGACGTTGCTTAACTTCGATGATTTAGGAGAACCGATATTCCAACGTGATGTTATCGAAAGCGCATACAAGTAGGAAGGAAAAATCAAAATTGATATGTAGGGATCGTAATCTTTAACTGACTGGACAGCATTATGTCGGGATTATTGATTATTGCGGTTCCTTATATGAGACTCTCCTTACTAATAGATTCGGAAAAGAATGTTTATGTTTCGCCCCAATAGCGGATAGTAGCTGTGGACTTCTGTACTCGTGGAACGTATCTTGTCAAAAACCTTGCCATTGAAATAGGGATATAATAGACGCTTCTGCTGTCTCGTCTCTTGGGAAAAGGTTTGGATAGTCTCGGATGATCCATGTCACCATAGAGATGATTTTGAACCGTCAAAATCTGGAAAGTGAGGAGAGAGTCGCTCCCAGATATGGATGGAGCATTCCATTTGGGTTTACTCACGCTTTTTAAAGATTACATATAGGGTATATCAGTTGGAATCACATATTTTGACGAGCGGTAAAAGCACCTGGCCATTCTTCCAGAACTTTTAGGCATGTTTATCTAAATAAATAAACAGCAAATTTTCTCTGTCCGTCCGTGTATCTGAAACCCCTTTAAGTCGGGTCACACTTGCTCTACAGAGACATGTCGTACATTCTTGGATTGAACATTTGCCATTCATCTGGTGTTTGAACATCCGGCATTGAGATTTGTGAGGAGAAACTGTTAATATCCAAATTTTAAAATAACCGAAAAAAATAGTGATTTCAAAGGTTTTTATTTTTATTTTATTTCTGCTGATTATAACGTAACACAAAATCTTCTGGAGATCATTTTTTTTTCTTTGAAAATTAGTTTATAATATCTCCAAAACTTAAAGTGAGAGGTTTCGTGAAGTCAGGGTTTGACGTTTTTTTTTTTTTTTATTTGAACAACTTAACTCAATTCATGTTTCACTGTGTTTGTGATTTGAACAGCTCACTTTTCGGCATGTATTGGAAATTCAGCACAAATTGAAATTTCGGCTCAGATCCGTCTTTTAGCCAGAATTAGGATTATTGTCCGAGTCAGGCATTTAAAGTTCTATGAGGTGAATTGGAGAATTCAAAGTTATCATTGCTGTTTTCTAAGCTGAACCAGAGGTCTCCTTATTTTTGAACTGGAAGCTTAAATAGCTCTCCGCAAGAGTTAGCTTAAAAGTTGACTTTTTTTTCTGACGTGAGCACCGGTCCCAAATGACGGCCAACACACGAGGCCACCTTACAATTACAACCGTCCATCATGACAGACAAAAATTCAGTGTTTGAACGGTGATAATGAAACCTTACGTGCCATGCGTGATACACGATAAGGCGATCATGTATCTTTCGATACATGGCAGACAAGTCAGAATTTTTTCCCGCAGTAGGTTGCCGTTTCTTTCTGCCATCCAAGGCTATAGAACCCGGTCTGTCCTTCTATTTACCCATGGTTGGGAGAGAAGATTCATACCTTTCCCATGGGTATTAGCGCGTAATTGAAGGTAATGGATTTGATGAGAGTTCAAACTCCGCTCTCCGATTCCTCTATCTGTGCCACTATCTATTACTCCACCTTGCCAGTTTGTTTTTAGACGTACTCATTGTTATACGCCAGTTTTCCTTCCCACTCATCTTTTTTTTATCTATGTCAGTTGACAAAAACTCTTCATATAGGTATTTGGAGGTGTATACATAATAGGTTGTGTCATTTGCATAGATGTTTCTTAATGATCTGAGTATGATTTTAGGCAAATCGTTTATATGAATCCCGTTATATGTGTGCCCGAGCAGATTGAAGACATTCAGTTAATAAAGACATTCATAGATCTAACAAATAGATTGCTAAAGATGTATACCTTTTAGTTGTAAATGATTTAGATTAAACAAAATCCATTGCATTACCAGGCAATGTAAATTAATGATGTTAGAAAATACCAGTGAATGAAATCAGCTGTTTGACTTAGATATCTGTTGGGATTACGCCCACCGAAGATTTCAAGTAGAACTCGTACATACGATATACAGATGCTGAAAATATGGCGGAGTCCTTATACCACTCCAGTGAATACTCGACTCGTCCCTCTATTCCCTAAATTTACAAGTGCTAGATCAGGAATGAACTGGATCTGCTTAGACTTCCCTTTCTTGATAGTCCGAAACCTTCTAAGCGTGGGTATGGTGATAAACTACATCCGGTACCAAGGCCTCCGTTCGGGAGGTTTGGTCGTAGCGTGGAACCACGTCTTCATTGCTGTTCTTTTAAGATAGACCCTGACGCGTGGTGGTAGCACCTGTTAGGGTCCCAACTACAAGCAAATAGTGAACCCCCCACCCAAACTCGGATCAAAAGGCTATGAAAGTTTAGAAGTACATTTTTATACTGAACGTACCAGTTTCACTGTGAAAAAGAATTACCAGCAGTACGTTTTTGTAAAAAAAAAAATATATATATATAATAAGAAAATATTACCAGCAATATATCTACTTGGCTCTCGACAAAAAAAAAACAAAAAAAAAAACTCATTACAAAAATACTTCGATGAGACCTGAACTACAAACTGAATTCTTACAGAAAATATATATTATATTCATACAAAACTATCCTAAATATCTTCTCAGCATTAAATGACCCATAATGGTGTTGATATGGCGTAAAACAAGGCAAAAAAAACAAGCCACCGACGAAACGTTGCAAGCCTCTCGTTCTTCTATTGCTATATCTATGGTAAACTATCAGGCGACATACATTCCTTTGTTCCAACAATTCTTACCCTCGCAGAAAAAATCCTCCACTGAGGCGAGCTCCACCCTCATTCCCGTCATATTCCTTTGTTGTCAGGTATGTTTCACTCAATAAACATCTTCCCATCAACTGCTACTTTATTGAACCGATTCCCATGAAGATGCTTTCCCCCTCTTCTATAATCTTAGCGTGTTCAAGTCTAACATTAATCGTTATCTTTTCCACATAGCCTCATAAACTGTGCCTCAAATATTTCACTATTAAGCTCACACAGCAGACCTGTTATCTCCCTGTACCTCGAGTGGCTTTTGAGCCTTGTATAGGTGAGTGTTAGTTAAAAAAAAAAGATTTTGTTTTTTACTGACCAAAACAATTTATTAAATGTCATCACGTAACTTCTGGGCGTGGATGATCATAGCCTTCCACGTCTTCATTTTGGGCCTTGTAAAGGTGAGCATTAGTTTAAAAAAAAAAACTTCTTGTCTTTCTGACCAAATCAACTATTCTATTTATTAAATGTCATCATGTCACTTCAGGACGTGTATTAACCAAACCCTGCACAACGTCCGCCTATTGTGCCTTGTAAAGTTAAGCATTAGTTAATAAACCAAAAAAAAACATCTTGTTATTTTACTGAACAAATTAACGATTTTGTTTATTAAATGTCATCAGGACGTAAGAATTAGTTAAAAAGCTAAGAAACAAGCATCTTGTTTTACTGACCAAAACATCTATTCTATTTATTAAATGTCATTATATAACTTCCTTACGTGGATGATCCTATCCCTCCACAACATCCTTATTCTGGTCTTTGTAAAGATGAGCATTAGTTAAAAAGTAAAAAAAAAAATCTTGTTTTTCCCATAAAATAAACTATACTATTTATTAAATGTCTTCGTGTAACTTCTAGACGAGAATGAAGCTAATCCTCCACAACGTCCCGCCTTTTAAAAAAGTACAAATAAATCAGTGTATATATTGCTCATAATAAATTTAGGCAACGTTTAACCTTTGAACCCGCAACAAATCTGTCTCAAAAGAACGGTTTTGTATTTGAAACTGCTCGCAATGAATACCCTGGTCTCCCTCAGCAAGGATTTCTTTACTTTTAACTCAATATGTTGTTGTTAGATAATTAATTTGCGATATTTCTTTAATATTTGCAAGGTTATTAAAATATACGAACCATCTACAATTCAATATTTATTATTGAGCATTTTAAATTGACTGCAGTATATTCCCGCGTATAAGACGACCTTTAAATGATCAAAATCAGCTTTAAAAATTGGGGTTCGTCTTATAAAAGAATTCTAAAAAAGAAACCTTATATTCTAAGTGATGATTGACGGTAGTCTAACCTCGGCATCGCTGCAATAATCAATAACGTACATGAATAGATTCACATTTTCCAATAAACTGATAATAAGTGTAATAAAACTATTTCTTAATTATATATGACTGGCACAACTTCATAATAAATTACCTATTCGAAGAATAATTCCATATCGAGGGAATCAAGTTGTATCCTTGCAAGCCCAGCTGAGAAAATGTAAACATCGAGTTATGATTGCATTCACAGCAACCTTCATCTGTCGCTAAACTTTCAAACATATTTGTAGTGTCTATTACGGCGGTAATAATGTTTAGAATAACGTAATATTCAATTCTCATAAAAAAATTATTGTTGCCGATGAAGTATAAGTAAATGGATATAGCACACCAGGCTGTTTTAACGGTTTCGATATAGGAAAGAAGAAGAATCAGTATTCGCAAGAAACGACATGATGAAACGTAAACAAAACAATGGTTTCCCATTTATGGGAGATGTGTAGGAAAATATGATATAGAATCGATTTTTTTTTATTTCTTTCATTTTGAATTTCT